ACCAAGAGGATTGACAAACTGGTCCTTCAAAGTTTCCTGCATAAAATTTGGCCGGAATATGTCTCTGACCAACACAAAGACCGGCTTTTCTGTTAAAGACATCTTGGACTTGCCTGACACCAATGACGAAGACGGCTCCATCGTGGAAGGCGGGGATGAAGAAACGGAGGGCTCCGAACCCCCCAAAAAGCCCAGCGTTTTGGGGACAACCTCACTGGACGCTGTTCAGACGCTGCCTCTGAAGAACCCCTTTTATGACAATACCGATAATCCCTACACGCGTTGGCTGGCCACCACCGAGAGCATCCAGTACTCCTGTAAGTAGGCGAACTTAACACTCGGGCTCCCTCGTATTGTGAGCCTGCGTTACACCCGCTAGGAACCCGGATGAACCCGGTATTGCTTTCACCACCACTCTTCCCACCGCACACCCCATCGCTCCTGTTTTTACGGTGGGTGGTGTAATGTTTTTTAAAAAGTCCTTTCTGAAACCAACAAATTGGAAATCGAGATGCTTTAATTATCTAAATAGGTTTCCGGTAGCTGATGGTTCTGAATTCTTGTTTGTTTATAAGGCAGTAACAACCCTGTCTGGAATTTTTTAAATGAAAACTTCCAAAAAAATTCTCCCAGCCACCCAAAATGCTTCCCCTCCTCCTCTTCCTGCATCCTTCGTTCTACTTTTTCTGAGTAACAGAGCGTGCTTTGTGGGGAAATTTTGGATGGCCTTGCTTTAGACGTTTGTAAATCGTCCCTTTGGCTGTGCTGGATCAAAGCACGGCTTGTTGAATATATCCTTTAAAAACCAATCCACGTAGCGCAGAAAGAAGAAGTCGGTTTTGTTTGGATTGTTGTTGTTGTTTTTTTAAAGAGAATTGTCCGAAGTACAAAATCTGTAAGAAAAATCGGCGCAATCTGACTGGAAGTTTCAACTGCGCAATCCCACATGTAAATAGATAGAAGCTGCGCAACACCCTTGTAGACTGCGTCCAATATTAGAATCATAACAATGATCTGTCGCAATCTAAGGATTTATGTAGCTATGTGGCGTTTGTATTCAGGGTCCCCCCCCCTTCCTTTGCATTTGTTTCTGTTTCTCCATGTAATTTTCCGTCTAGGTTAAATATTTATGACAAGAGAGGGGGGAGTCAGAGGAAATTAAAATACGTACTAATTTATACTTCACTGCTCACCTTGGGGGACCGGGGAGAGGAAAAGTGTACATGCGATAAATACACATCAGCTGTAGATGATTCTAGCAACAACGCAAGCGTCTCTTAGGTGCTGAACTGCCACATGTTCATAAAAGATGCAGACTTCCCCGTAGCAGTGTACTGGCGCTTGTTTGGTCTTGATTCTTGTAAGAAAAAGAAACTGATTTAAGCATCCTGCGTTTCTTATAAAATGAAACAATTGCGCACTGGGGAAGAGTGAGTTTGCAAAGGCCCCAACCACTTTTCTCCCTTCGTGTTGGAAAGGCAGGCAGGCAGGAAGCGGGTTGGGGCTGAGCAGAGCCCGACGGGACACAATGGTGGTGGGGAGGGGGGGGTAGTCCTGCTGCCCGGGTCGCCGGCCCGCCGGCCCACCTTTCTCCTGATTTCCTTCCTTTGTGGCTTTCCCCTCAGTGCACGGTTTGGCATCCAGCAACTCCCAACAGGATTCCGCGTCCAAATCTCCCGAGCCTTCGGCCGACGAGTCCCCGGACAACGACAAGGAAACGTCGAGCAACGGGGACTCCGGCAAGAAGCGGAAAAGGCGGGTGCTTTTCTCCAAGGCGCAGACTTACGAGCTGGAGAGGCGCTTCAGGCAGCAGCGGTACCTCTCGGCCCCCGAGCGGGAGCACCTGGCCAGCCTGATCCGCCTCACTCCCACCCAGGTGAAGATCTGGTTCCAGAACCACCGCTACAAGATGAAGCGGGCCAGGGCCGAGAAAGGTATGGAAGTGACTCCTCTCCCCTCCCCGCGCCGGGTCGCCGTGCCCGTCTTAGTCAGGGACGGCAAGCCGTGCCACACGCTCAAGGCACAGGACTTGGCTGCCGCCACCTTCCAGGCGGGGATCCCTTTCTCAGCCTACAGCGCCCAGTCTCTCCAGCACATGCAATACAATGCCCAGTACAGCTCGGCCAGCAACCCCCAGTACTCCTCAGCGCACCATTTGGTACAAGCCCAGCAATGGACTTGGTGAACGCTCTAGAGACACTAGAGACTTGACGGAGGGATTTCAAATTGGTCCTGCCGGGGAGGGCGTGGGGGAGGGCACGGTGGGACGAGACTTCGGATATTCGGATGCCTGTGGGGAGGGGGGATTTCTTCTTTAGGGGAAAGGGGTCAGTTTTCATTCTTTTGGGGTGTTTTGTGCGCCATGTTTACAAGAGAGAGGAAAAATTGCGGCGTTGCTAGTGGTCCTGTCTACCTACAAGTACAAATTTTAAATAATAATGATCATAATAAAAAAGAATAAACATTTAAGGCCGTTGTGACTTTTGTAAATAATGTTTCTTTGCTGTAAGAGCTACTTTCAGGGGTATATAAAATCAAGGAGTGAAGATTTTAAAAACAGAACTTTCCTTGGTTTATATGTATGTGTGTGTATTTATGAACCTTTACAAAATGCTCAGAACTAGCAGCAATTTTTCAATGCTTTAAAACAAACACACGTGGTGATGCTTGCCATACATCCGACGCAGACTTTATTTTTGGCTTGTTCCTGATTGGATGATATTTTTTTCCCCTGCAAAAACAGAGAGCAAAAACAAATCCAGATGATGCTATGTATACACACACCAACAATATATCAGTTTCTGCATAATTACACACATATATGAATCCAGGTGCAACAGGATTATTTTGATTTTTTAATATGAGGTTTTGAATTAAAATTGTGTATTGTTAACTTTTTTTAAAAGCCCACATTTAACAAGATTTGTGTGGTGTGGTTAGGGCTACGATTAAGCTAGGGCCTTCTTTTCGCTTCCGTTCTTGTCTAGCCTGGTATGATCTTTCCTTTTCAGTTTCATCCATTTGAGTTTGAGCAGACTCATCCTTGGAACGACTTTTCGAGAAAGGGCACTCTTGGTAAGGCATCAGTCAGCGGAAAGGGCGATAGGGCCCGTCTGGGGTTTGGCTCAGTCTCTAGGTGGTCGCAGGAGGACGAGGTTCCGCCTTCCGAACGGAGTCCGCGCTGGGCCTGTTCTTGTTGCAGAACCAAGAGAGTGCGCGAGGATCCCGGACTCCGGGAGGCTACTGGGTAGAGCAGCACTTTCTCCTGCCTAGCTCACGATTTCTTCAAACCGTTGAACATAGTCTCGTCCCCTCTACGTTCTGCCTACTCGAGTTTATCTACTTGAGATACTAATAAGGAGATAAAGTGACGGGTGGAAATGAAAAAAAAATTAACCTCCTTCCCTCTCTCTCTTCCCCCCCCCGGCCTCATTTAAATGTAAGAGTGCTCCTTCAAGCTGAGAAGCCTTTGATTCCAAAAGCTTCAGTTCAATGGCTTTCACTTTCTCAGCGGCGCTGAGGCTGATCCAGCGTGGTTCCAAAGTGGAAGTCCTGCGGGGTTGTCTTCCGGGACCTCTTGCCGTGTTGGCCGGACTTTGGTGAACTATAAGGAGGTTGAACTTTTCAGGGCCCCAAACAGAGCAGACCCATCCCTACACACACACACACCCCATCCCGGCCTGTTTTTTTCTTCTTTTTTCTCGTTTTTCTTTTTGGCATTTGAATCTCCTTGAGATGTGATTGTTCTCACACACACACACACACAGCCAGGAGAAGGCACTTGAGGGCACAATCCTGTGCTCGCTTACCTGGAAATAAAACCTGAGGGGCCTTAACCACGGAGTCAACGTGCCCTACATTGCTAAGTCGGAAATGGGATCTCCGCTGGGCAGGCGGCGTGGAGCCGCCGAGGAAATCGCCGCGAGCCGACGGACGAGGGGACGTCCATGTGCGCGAAGAAGAAGGGAACGCCGACAGCCTTCGTGCAGGGATCGACGGGAGGAAGGGCAAGGAATAGAGGGAAAGAAGAGAGAGAAAGGTTTCGAACGGGCGTTTGGTGCGACTCGACTGAATTCAGCGAGAGCGACGGAAGCCCGGCCTTCGCCCTTGATCGATAGGTCTGTTCAGGCCCGTTTCCAGGACTTTCCCAGGCTCCTTCTACCCCAGGCTGAAAACTGTCGCCCCTTCCCGCCGCTCAGCAAACAACTGGACCCGCAGCGGGTGCTCTGCGGAGGCAGGAAGCGGTCTCAGCGGAGCTCCCTCCCTGTTGCTGGCCGGCGTTCAACTCCGTGTCGAAAGCAAACACGGTTATGATGATCTGGCGGAGAGCTCCCCGCGGCTGCACCCGGCCTGGGTGGCGGCTGGACTGGAGCGCCCCGGACCTGCCGCCCGGGGAACTTGGCCGGGAAGCTGGAGCAGGAAGACTCGGGCAGAGCGTGCCCTTGCCCCCCCCCGCCGCCCCCGCGGTGTGTGTGAGGAGCGCCGACGACGAGGAGAAGCCGCCGCCGCCTCCCCAGAGTTCCTCAGCCCCTGGCCACGAGCAGTTTCGGGATAAGGCGCCAACTTTTGCAGACTTTTCTGGGGCAGCCCGTTGGGGGCAGCGGTGGCGCCGAGTGGGGTCGTGTTGCCTCCCTCAAGGGAGGGCGCGGTGCCCTGGCGGCTCCACTGGCCTTCAGCGGGGCCAAGCGAGGAGCCTTTCCCGGGGCCCCGAAGGCCTTCCTGCCCGTTCACCTGCTTCTTGTCCTGGGGGGGGGAGAGTCTCGCCTGTGCCCAGCTGGCATAGCCCTGGCTTCAGCCTCCTTCCTCCCCTTCCACCTCTATCTTCCTCCCACCCCACCCCCACCCCATAGAAGGGTGGACGCTGGAAAGGAGCGGGCCCTTCGCGATTCACCCGGAGCCACATTTCGGTGGCTGAAAACAAATCGCCGGGCTGTTCCCAGGCAAGCGGTGACGGCCGCTCCTGGTCGTGTAATTCACCCACACACCCTCCAGCGCTTGCGAGGGGCGGGGGAAGCGCCACGGTCTCTTAGGCCCCTATTAAGTCTATCAAGCTGGTGGAGTCTTGTGTGGCCCTAACCCCCAGTGGCCTTCCATTTCACACGCCGATGGTGGCGCGGGAGTTTGGGGGAGTCTATCTTTGCATAATATACAGTACCCATCACAAAAAGGGCACAATGGGGAAGGCTGGGAGTTGAGGATGTTAGAGGCGTGCATATTAAGTCGGGGGCAGAAAAGAAAGAGCCACAGACGGGGCAGAGAGGGTTAGGGAGGCGAGGAGAGGAAAGGAA